GCCTCGGTGCGGAGTTGGTGTTTGGAGTTGTTTCAGCTGAGCTGTGCTCTCAGGCTCCCACAGACAGCTGAAGGTGATCTCCTTATGCATTGCTTATGGCAGGCCCCAATTATCCATCCATCCATCCATTTTCTTCTGCTGGTGCCTATCTTCAGCGAACTTTTTGGGCGAGAGGTGGGGTCACCCTGGACAGGTTGCCAGTCTGTCGCAGGCTTTGCACATGTAGTGACTGAAATTTTTGCCCATTTTTCTTTGCAAAAAAGCTCAAACTCAGATTAGATTGAGGGCATTTGTGAAATGCAGTTTTCTGATTTTGCCACAGATTTTTTTAATGGGTTTACATTTGGACTTTGTTTTGGAGCCCTCCTTTATGTTTACAGCAGTTGTCCTGCTGGACCTCTACCCCAGTCTAATATCTTTTGTAGACTCAAACAGTTTTCCCTGTATTTGGCTCCATCAATCTTCTCGTCAACTCTGACCATATTCCCTGTTCTTGCTGAAGAGAAGCAGGTGCAGGGAATATGGGGTAAGAGCACCAAAATTCCAATGAAACACATTTATGTTTGTGATTGTAATGTCACAAAATATAGAAAAGTTCAAGGCGTATGAATACTTTTGCAAGTCACCGTATTTGTTAGAGATAATAAAAACAGCTATTGTATCTTTTCTATGCAGGAAACTATAACATTAATATGCAGAAAAGCAGGAACACTTCTTCTCTCACCTTAAAAGGTCCTGAAGGACCAAATGAACGGATAAGGGTGGGACATCCACTTTTTCAGTGGATGACATGTCTTGCCCCTCACCAGGCTTAGCCAATAGCACCAGAGTCAGTCCTACAACACAAATAATCTACAAACATATCACCTCACTCTCACTAATGAAATCTGGTCTAAAAACCCATCTTTTTATATGAACCTATTCTTATTAGGTTATGATGATGTGGATGTCTTTAGTCTTTATTGCATTCTGTTGCTGTGTTTTATGTTGGCTTTTAACAGTACAGCAATCTTGATTGTCCTGAGATGCACTTTTAAATGAACAGTTTCATGATTTTTTTTCAACAATGCTCAGGCAGCATGTCAAAACAACAACACAATGCACTCTATGGTGGTCTTGATAAGTCTACATTAAAAATTGCAACCTATGATAAAGTTACCAATCGCTACGGCAGTGAAGGTAGTGAAACAGACGTAGGTTGCAGCGAGGATGGCCGTTTTCTTGGACATCTGGGTTTTTAAGTCAGTTACGCCTGAGAAAAGAGAGCAGAACCAGAAGTTCATGTGGTGCCTGAGCAATGACTAGGACAACATGCCAGTTTATATGTATCCTAACGATAGTCTAAATGTCTGAACCAATCTTTATCTTTTTGTGGCAGTATGCCCTGTAGGCTCTGAACGCACCACACACGTACCTGAATCTATAGCCGTTTTCGCACTGCAAGGAACGGAACGGAGCGGCACGGAACGGGTTCAAAGTAGGGCCGACCGTGTTTGCATTAAAACTTCCGACCCGGTTCCACCCGACTCCTTGGAACCACAAGAGCTGTGGTTCCAATCGGGCCTGCCAAATGGGGCTACTTAGAATCAGCAGCTGATTGGTTTAGAGTCAGCCGTTAATCGGTTCTAGCTGGCTCTCACTAAACTGTTCTTACTGTATTTTGTAAAGAGTGCTCTTTTTAATATTTTTATCATTTTTTTTTTAATTTGCGATGAATTCCTCTCAATATTCTGCTGTTACCTGGTCCCATGATGAGGTAATTTTTTTCGTCCGCTTACTCCCTGATGAACGAGTACAGAACAAACTAGATCGGTCAACGAGGAAAGAGAAAGTTTTCCGCAGCATCTCTGAGGAAAAGGTTTCGGCCGCTGCATCGAAACCATTGTTTAGTTTCAAAATAATGACGTCAGGTACAGCTTCGATGCCGCCCTTAGTTATATGCAAACACAACAGGGCTGCAGTTCGGGTGGAACCGGACCGAAGCGTGCCGTTCCGTTCCGTTCCGTTCTTTGCAGTGCGAAAACGGCTTAATTGGTTGTGGCGCTGGCTGGCTGTATATAAAGGGCCCTCCCTCATCTCGTTGCCATCACGTTGTTTTCTTTCCGGTTCAGACCTCGGCGTTTGCTGGCGCTGCACGCTAGGTAAGGCAGGCTTCATCTCTCTCTGTCAAGCTTATTACTTGTGATTTATTTCCATTTTCTGTATATGAGCCGCATATTAATGCGCGCTCGAATGGTGCGCTTAACGACGCTCTGACCGCCGATCCATCCTCCTCGTGGTAAGAAGCTTCCCACACTCAATGTTAGCATAGCTTTAGCTCAGCTTCTGTTGTATATCCAGGCTGCCTGTACAAGCTGCATGCTTTCCCCTTCCTGTCAGAGGCACCACATTTGAGCTCAGTGGTAAGTGAAATGGTAATCTTTTGTATGCTTCCAGATTCCATTTATGACATTTATTTTCGATAGCCGCTGCTGTTTGTCCTTGGCCGGCTGTGTGCCTGTTGTCTGGTTATCTGTTGTGAGCTGCCTCCCTGTAGTCCTGGTTGCCGGTCTCATGCCCGCCGGCGTAAAACTGGCTCCTGTCACTCATCCAGTGTTGCTGGTTTGTGACCAGCTCGGACTGATTCTTCTAGTGCAGCTCTGGATGGCGTCTGGTGCGGCGGAAGGATCCTTAATTTGAACTTTTGCTGCTTGAGTAGTTGTCGTCGACTGAACTGCATAATTGTGAATTAATGTAATTTTGAATGTCGTTCTCTTTTCCTTTATTTTGACAGGAACGGCCAGCTCACGGTGTTGGTGATGGACTTTCCTGGTGGAGGTGGTACTCTTTTTCTGGTTTGGTGCCCGGTTTTTTTTTTTTTTTTTTTTTTTTTTTTTTTTGTCACTTCCCTGATTTGCACTGCCATCTGAGTTGAACCATAATTCTTTAAGTGTGTGTGGTTTTAAATTGGCATATTTTATGACTAAACTGAAAACAGCTGTGCAATAAATAAAATTATTGAATTGGGTGAGATTGTCTCAAGCCTCATCTGCAGTGGGTCTGTGTGACTTAAAGGCAACTTTTCAAGTGGAGTCATTGCAGTCTTATCTTAAAATAGTGGCCTTAAATTCAAGTTGCCCATTTTGATCACCCTGGTCTTGCTACTTTTTTTTTTGTCACAAGAAATAATTGGGAACACCTTATGAATCTAATGTCCAGATATAATCAAAGTGTTTATCCACAAATCAATGAGTGAGCATCTTTATAACAAGCTAATACATCAAGTATTTCGATTCATATTTAGCTTGCCTGCAATCACGCTCGTCACAATGAGGGGGACAGCAAATAGCTGAAGCACATTTATAAATATTTCCCCTGGCATTTGGATCCAGGGATGATGAGGTGGACTTATAGAAACCAGAAACTTCAGCAGAAGTCCAAGGCCTAACCCTATAAAGCAAACAAATCACACATATTTATAAACCAAGAACCAGAAATGCTGAATGAAGACCTGGTTTCTCTATAGTACTGTATGTTGAAAGAGCAGCATCACTTTCTAACACCAGAGGCCCTCAACTTGTGCTGAAAATGTGGTCGCTGCTGCAGATGTAGTCAATCTGAGCAGTGCATGAGTTTAATATTTCCAGAAATAAAAATTGACAAAGTACATTAACATCTTACACTATGACAAATACACATTTTTAATTTTTATCTGTGACCAACAAATAACTCAATATTCAAACTTGAACTACACTTGGTGTCAAGGGAAAATGCATAAAAAACCCAATTAAACATTTCACTAGGGTATTAAGACTGCACATATAAAGTACACTTACCTCATTTCAGTAAAAACCCTGGTTAAACCCACTAACTTCTGTCATCAGGCAGCAATTACACCACACAATTAAAGCACTAAAAAAAATTCACAGGATGCTCAGCAGTAGAAAAGAGTCAGTACTTACCCAAGCCAACTGAAATCAGGGTAGTGACCTGAAATGAAGTTTCTTTCATTGTCTTTCTTTCACTTGAGTCCAGTGAGCTGAAACAGATGGCCCAGTCTCTCACAGTTGGTTAAGATTATCAGTTGCTTTTTGGTGTCCAGTGCTGGGTGTATAGATGACGTGTGTCCCCCTTTGAAAAAAAATGCTCCGAAAAACAGATTTGGTTTCCATGGATACCTTGGTAAAAATAAATACAACTTCAACATTTTAGAAATATATAAAAAAGAGATGGGGGGGGGGGCTTTCTGTAATTTGATGTGCTTAAAAACAAATTAGGCTTCGATGATGCCAATTGGATTTATTAGTTTGCTAGTTCAGAGAAGTATTTTTGTTTAAACAGTGTTTAAGTGATTTAAAAAGTTTCAGTTTTAAAAGGATCTTGTTCATTTTGTCATACAATGTGTCTTTGGGTTTTTTTTTTTTTTTTTTTTTTTGGAAAATGCCAGGAAAAACATTCCTGGTCTCCTTGGATACCTCGACTTTGGTTCAAAATTAATCATTAATATTGATCTGTTTAAATTAAAACGGCAATGTGTTTCTAATATTAACTCCCTATACTGTTATTTTATGGGCTTTTTATTCATGTGACTAGAATTTTTGTTGTTTTGAGAGAATACATGAGTTTATTTAGTTTAGAGTTTAGAAAGAGAGATGGCACTTGGCCTCAGCATATTAAAAACAAAAACATGTTTAGTATAGATGGAAATTGTAATAAGATAATTATTTAGAACAATATATTGTTTGAACATTGGTCTGAGTTTATCTGTTGGTTTACAGTCATAATTGCATGTGCAGAGTCATAAATCATCAATCACCTACATGCTAACACAAAGTAGTGCATCACTGTAAGGTGGAATGAAAATTATGGCAACACTTTATTTGATGGGGTGTGAATAAGATTGTCATGACACTGTCATAAACATGAGTACGTTTCCAAAGCCTCTGGTTTGTTAAAGCGTCCAGATCAGAGATGATTCTCTGACAGATATTGTTCTTAGTCTGATTAATAATGAGCTCCACG